CCGCGCCAAGAGCCGTCACGCAGACTTCCCCGCCAAGGCGTTGGCCAAGGCCTTCCAGAAGTTCCTCGAGGACAATGTCGCTGCTGGTGATGCTGACATGCTCAAGACCACCCTGGCCCCGTTGACTGACGTCCTGAACGCATACTCCGAGGGAACCAAGGCCCACGAGTTGACCGTCATCAAGGACCTCTTGGGCTCGTATATCGAGATTGAGCGCCTGTTCACTGGGTACGGAACCCAGGAGGATAGTGTCATTCTCAAGCTGCGTGACCAGAACAAGGACGATATCCGCAAGGTTGTTCAGACTGTTCTTTCTCACAGCCGTGTTGGTGCCAAGAGCTCGCTGATCCTCGCCATCCTTGAGGAGTACCGCCCCAACAAGCCCAACGTTGGAAACGTCGCCAAGTACCTCCGCACTGCTCTGCAGCAGTTGACCGAGCTCCAGTCTTCCCGCACCACCTCCAAGGTTTCCCTCAAGGCCCGCGAGATCATGATTCAGTGCTCTCTGCCTTCCCTTGAGGAGCGTACCGCCCAGATGGAGCACATTCTCCGCTCTTCCGTCGTGGAGTCTCGCTACGGCGAGGCCGCCTGGGACCACCGTGAGCCCAGCCTCGAGGTCATCAAGGAAGTTGTCGACTCCAAGTACACCGTCTTCGACGTCTTGACCCTCTTCTTCGCTCACGAGGATCCTTGGGTCTCTCTCGCTGCCCTTGAGGTCTACGTTCGCCGTGCCTACCGTGCGTACATCCTCAAGCAGATCGAGTACCACTCCGACGAGACCGATACCCCTCTGTTCTGCACTTGGGACTTTGCTCTCCGCAAGATCGGCCAGAGCGAGTACGGTCTGCCTCTCCAGTCCGCCGCGCCTTCCTCTCCCGCTACTCCCAGCGGTAGCGGCGGCTCGTTCGACTTCAAGCGCATCCACTCCATCAGCGACATGTCCTACCTCAACCACAAGTGGGACTCTGAGCCCAACCGCAAGGGTGTCATTGTGCCCGTCAAGTACCTCGATGACGCTGAGGACTTGCTCGGAAAGGCTCTTGAAACCTTGACCGTCTCTGAGAAGGCCAGGAAGCGCAGCACCCCCGGTCTCATTCCTGATCTGAGCGGCAAGCGCAAGCCCGCTGCCCCCAAGGTTGACTCTGACGAGCTTTCCGCTGTCATCAACGTTGCTGTCCGCGACGCCGAGAGCAAGAGCGATCAGGAGATTCTTTCTCGCATTGTTCCCATCGTCGAGCAGTTCAAGGAGGAGCTTCTCAACCGCAACGTCCGCCGCATCACCTTCATCTGCGGTCGCAACGATGGCGCCTACCCCGGCTACTACACCTTCCGTGGTCCAGAGTACGTTGAGGATGACAGCATTCGTCACAGTGAGCCCGCTCTTGCTTTCCAGCTTGAGCTCGGAAGACTTGCCAAGTTCCACATCAAGCCCGTATTCACTGAGAACAAGAACATCCACGTCTACGAGGGTGTCGGCAAGGCTGTCGACGGTGACAAGCGCTACTTCACTCGCGCCGTCATTCGTCCCGGCCGTCTCCGTGATGAGATCCCCACTGCTGAGTACTTGATCTCTGAGGCCGACCGCGTTATCAACGATATCTTTGACGCTCTTGAGATCATTGGCAACAACAACTCCGATTTGAACCAGGTCTTCATCAACTTCACCCCCGTGTTCCAGCTCCACCCCCAGGAGGTTGAGAGCAGTCTCCAAGGCTTCCTGGACCGCTTTGGAGCTCGCGCTTGGCGTCTTCGTGTCGCCCAGGTCGAGATCCGTATTATCTGCACTGATCCCGACACTGGCGTCCCCTACCCTCTGCGTGTCATCATCACTAACACCTCTGGATACGTTGTTGATGTTGACATCTACGCTGAGCGCAAGTCTGAGAAGGGCGAGTGGGTCTTCAACAGCATTGGCGGTACCAAGGAGAAGGGCCCCATGCACCTGTTGCCTGTCTCGACTCCCTATGCCACCAAGAACCCTCTGCAGCCCAAGCGTTACAAGGCTCACTTGATGGGCACTCAGTACGTGTACGATTTCCCGGAGCTCTTCCGCCAGGCCATCCAGAACAGCTGGACCCAGTCTGTCAAGAAGCATGGCGCACTGGGCGCTCAGCAGCCCAAGTCTGGCGAGTGTGTCTCGTATACTGAGCTCGTCCTGGACGACAAGGACACCCTTCAGGAGGTCAACCGCGAGCCCGGTACCAACACCTGCGGTATGGTTGGTTGGATCTTCAACGCCAAGACCCCTGAGTACCCCAAGGGCCGCAAGTTCATTGTTGTCGCCAACGATATCACCTACATGATCGGTTCTTTCGGCCCCAAGGAGGATAACTTCTTCTACAAGTGCACCGAGCTCGCTCGCAAGCTTGGAATTCCCCGCATTTACCTGTCTGCCAACTCTGGTGCCCGTCTCGGTGTCGCTAACGAGCTCATGCCCTACTTCAAGGTTGCGTGGAACGATGCCAACAAGCAGGACAACGGCTTCAAGTACCTCTACCTCGACGACGAGGCCCAGAAGCGCTTCGCCAAGGACGTCATCACCGAGGAGATCTCCGAGGATGGTGAGAAGCGCCACAAGATTGTCACCATTGTCGGTCAGGAGGACGGTCTTGGTGTCGAGTGTCTGAGAGGATCTGGTCTCATCGCTGGTGCGACGAGCAAGGCCTACAATGACATCTTCACCATTACCTTGGTCACTTGCCGTTCCGTCGGTATTGGTGCCTACCTTGTCCGTCTTGGTCAGCGTGCTGTCCAGATTGAGGGTCAGCCCATCATTCTCACTGGTGCCCCTGCCTTGAACAATGTTCTTGGTCGCGAGATCTACACCTCCAACTTGCAGCTTGGTGGCACTCAGATCATGTACCGTAATGGTGTCTCCCACATGACCGGTACTGATGACTTTGATGGTGTTTCCAAAATTGTCGAGTGGATGTCCTTCATCCCCGAGAAGCGTGGCAGCCCCATCCCTGTCAGCCCCAGCACCGACGGCTGGGACCGTGATGTCGTCTACACGCCTCCCCAGAAGCAGGCTTACGATGTCCGCTGGATGATTGGCGGTCACCCCACCGACAACGGTGGCTTCGAGGCCGGCCTCTTCGACAAGGACTCTTTCGTCGAGACTCTCGGCGGTTGGGCCCGTACCGTCGTCGTCGGTCGCGCTCGCCTTGGCGGTATCCCCATGGGTGTCATCGCCGTCGAGGCCCGCTCCGTTGAGAACATTACCCCTGCCGATCCCGCCAACCCTGACTCCATCGAGCAGATCACCAACGAGGCTGGTGGTGTGTGGTACCCCAACTCCGCCTTCAAGACCGCTCAGGCCATCAACGACTTCAACAATGGTGAGCAGCTGCCTTTGATGATCCTCGCCAACTGGAGAGGTTTCTCTGGTGGTCAGCGTGACATGTACAACGAGGTCTTGAAGTACGGTTCTTACATCGTCGACGCCCTCGTCAAGTACGAGCAGCCCATCTTCGTCTACATTCCTCCCTTCGGAGAGCTTCGTGGTGGTTCCTGGGTCGTCGTCGACCCCACCATCAACCCCGAGGCCATGGAGATGTACGCTGATGTCGATGCCCGCGGTGGTGTCCTCGAGCCCGAGGGTATCATCGGTATCAAGTACCGCAAGGACAAGCAGCTCGAGACCATGGCTCGCCTGGACCCCGTCTACGCCTCTCTTAAGAAGCAGATGACCGCCGATCTGCCCAAGGAGCAGGCCGACGAGATCAAGAAGAAGATGACCATCCGCGAGAAGCAGCTTCTGCCTGTCTACTCCCAGGTTGCCATCCAATTCGCCGACCTGCACGACCGTGCTGGTCGCATGAAGGCCAAGGGTGTCATTCGTGACCAACTGGAGTGGGTCAACTCCCGTCGCTACTTCTACTGGCGTCTGCGCCGTCGTCTCAACGAGGAGTACCTCCTCAAGCGCATGTCGTCGACCGTCCTCACTTCCACCCCCGGTAACGACAAGTCCAAGGCTCCCGAGACCCGCAGCCGCAACCTCCAGCTCCTCGAGACCTGGTCAGGTGTCGTTAACTTCTCCACTGCCGATCGTGAGGTGGCTGAGTGGTACGAGGCCAACCGCAAGTCTGTCACTGACAGAATCGAGACCGTCAAGGCCGACAACCTGGCTGCTGACCTCAGCTCTGTCCTGAGGGCCAACAAGAGCGCCGCCATGCGTGGTGTTCGCGATGTCATCCGCACCATGCCGCCTGAGGAGCGTGACCAACTCCTCAAGTACCTGCGCGATTAAACAAACATATATGAAGAGTGGTCGGCGTAACGCTTATGGGTGGTGTAAGGGTATAATGGGGGTTTAGACATGTTTTTCTGGGATGATTATGACTATGTACGAGCATTACTCCGCAATTTTGTTAAGATAGATTTCAATGTTGGGAAAATACTCCCTTTAATGAACCTTTCCGTCCACCGTAAATGTGATTGTAAATTGAGCTGATTCGATAGCTCTATGGCCACCGGCGTTTCGAGTGGACACGCGTCGCTCCATGCTTTCTGTTGAGTTGTGTCACTGCTCATCACTTGCATATGGAGACGTTACTTGATTCTTCAAGTACGAAGTGTGCTTAGTCCAGACTTGGCATATGTAGCCACAGCTGGATGGTGCAGCACCTCTTTCGCATTGATTAAGAAACACACTCCTAGCGTACAGACCATAACAGAACTCCGGACGCCCAGAAAAACAAAAAGCTTATGCTCCGTCCCGATCTCGATCCCCTATATTGCCCCCTACATCTCTCAGCCTACACTCCGTATCGGCTCAGATTTGCGCTTAGCCGTCGCCGCCCTTCATGCCTCGACATCTGAATCGCAAGGTATGTAACCCACCCAGAAACCGATCCCCTCCTATGACACAACCCAGCCATGCCTCCAGAGCCTCTTGAATTTCCCCGGCCGCAAGTCACGTCTCCATCATTCATCACTTGCGGCCTCGTGAGCTGGAGGCATGGCTCTTCCTAATCAACTGCCTATACTTTGGCATCGATTTACATTGCCCGGCGCTTAGGCTGCCGCTCTCCATCCATTGACGATGGCGTATTCGCCGGCGAAGGACTCGGGATGCCGCCGGGTGTCAGGGAAGGATGGGTCAATAGGAGAGGATCGGTGTAGCCGTTGGAGATCGTGTCGTGAGATCTCTTTTGACCTGAGGCGGGCCCGGCGACACTGCCTTGTGTAAGAGGCATCCCAGGCATACCCGAAGCCGTCTGCGGCATTGAGGCAATTTGCGCCTGGGCCTGTTCCCATATATCGCTGTCGAAGGAGGGCTGCGGCGGGATCTGGGGCAGGGTCTGCTGGGGGAAGCTATTGCCATTTGAGGCCCGGGGGAAGGCAGCAACACCAGCCGAAGCCTGGGTAGGGGCAGTACCGGCCATGGGCGAGCTCAGTCCCTGATACTGTGGCGCCGCCGTGTTCGCCCTGTAGGCCGGGTTCATGTATCTCTGTTGGGCCAGCATGCTGTTGGACGCGAGGCCGGATATGCGTGGCGTCCGGCTCTGGCGGATGAACGGCCTGGGCGGGTAACCATTCTGGGGCGGGAAGCTCTGAGTTGGCATGGCCTGGGGCGACATACCCTGAGGCAACAAACCGTGGGACGGCAGACCCTGATACGGCGTCTGCGGGCTCTGAACGAAGTTGGTGAAGCCACCGGATGCTTGTTGAGGGAACCCAGAGCTGGCTGCGTTGCCAAACTGTGCTGGTGTGTTCTGGTACGGGTTACCCAGAGACCACATTGGCCTGGCCATGCCCGAAGATGGCATGTTTTGGGGCGGCATGTTCTGCAAGGCAGGGTTCCGGAGCAACATGTCTGGAGATGCCGTGCCTTGAGGCGCCATACTTTGAGGCGCCATGCCGTAGAGGCGCGCAATCTGAGGTGACGCCCCCCGATATGCCGTGTTCTGAGACGGCGTGCCCGGCCAAGACGTGGTGGGCTGAGATGGCGGCATACCCTGCGACAAAGTGGCCTGGGTCGACATCGCAAGAGATATCCCCTGCCCAGCGCCGTTGGACACATTGTTGCCCATGCCCATGCCCATGTCCGCGCTCATGCCCATACCCGCCGTGTTCTGGATGTCAGGTACAGTGCCTGGCATCCGAGAACCGAACTGGGCTGCCATGTAGGCATTCTGGGTCGGCGCGGCATGGGCATGGGCATGGGCCTGCGGTACCGAAGGCTGCTGGTAGTTGATGGGCATGTTGTTGCCCGTTGTCATGGTATTCTGGCTGGGATATGCAAGGGCAGACCCCTGAGAGGCCTGAGGAGAGGCTGAATATCCATTCTGAATTGGTATGCCTCTAGCTGGTATTATCGGACGCCGCTGCCGGACATTCGGCCGTCTATGGCCTCCGGATCTCGACGTGTTCATGGCCGGGCGGGGGCCCTGGGACGCCGCTCTGACTGCTGCCGCGTGGACGGGGGCGGGGGACGCCGTCGGCGTGGCATCCCGGCGGGGAGTCTGCGCTCGAAGCGCTCTCAGGGTCGCTTGGTCTGGTCCGCTCAGGGTAGGTCTCATTTGCTGCGGAACTGCTGGGTAGCTGTTGGGCGTCTTCTCGCCCACCAGGCTGCCCATCGCCATGGTATTCTGGGCAGGATATGTAGGGGCAGGGTTCCGAGAGACTTGAGGGGCGGCTTGCTGTTGAAGTGGCGCTTGTGCTGGCAGGATGACGGGAGTTGATTGTTCGCTCTTTGTGTTGGCGGGGGGTGTATGAGAATCGCCTTCTTTGACGGGATTCTCGGGGGTCGGTTGAGAGAGATCGGGGCTTGGGAGATGACTTGCTGTTGGGAGACAGATGGAGCGATGATTCTGAACGAGTCTCATGTCAGGTGTTGGTGGACACGAAGGGCCGCCGAACAAACTCTCCAGGTCATCGATTGTGAATTCGTCTACATCTAGCGTGGGGACATCGACCTCGGGCTTGGGGATGTTGGCGAGCATGCTCTCGTCGACACGCTGGACTTCTTCGGGAACGGCTCGAACTGGTTGAGACTCAACGTCTCCAGTAGGCACGGGTCCTATTTGTTGTAGCACTTCAAGGCCTTCGGCTTCGTCATCGTTGTCGTCGTTGTCGTCGTCGTCGTCGTCGTCGTCGTCGTAGTCGGAGTCATCTGAGATGGCCATGATACTAGCATGGTCTTCACCTCCAGACTCGACTGGATTGGCCTCATTCACCAAGGCCAGTCTCGGCTTCTCGGCCTGCTTCTCCTCCTTGTTCCATCGGCCAAGATTCAACGAGAACTGTTGGTCCACGTATTTTCCTCTTTCACGGATGCCGTGACACATGCCGAGATCCCAAATCTCGCACGTGGGATTGGAGCATCTGTAGACGCCGCTTTCAGTTTTGCGACGCTCTGTGTCGAGGAGAAGATTCTTTGAGAGACCAGGGCACTCTTTGCCGGTCTGAATGTACTTGACGCAGTAACGGACTGTGTCTCTTGGCCAGTTGCATTCGCAAATGAATTGGTCGGAAACGCACATGGTGGCGGTTGTTGTGATTATTAGTGTGTGGTGGGCGTGGTGATTCGACTACCTTCCTGTCGATTGCTCAAGGATCGAAGAGGCTGACTTGTAGTATCGACCACTCAGGGGATGATTATAGACAGAATTGAATCGGGCCCGCCGTAGAGAATGATTGTGGGTGAAGTTTGGGTAGAAGTAATTCACAAGAACGGGTCCTGTGGTGTCAGAATGGGAAGAAGGCTAGCCAGCAGTACTGTAGAAGAGGAGAATAAGTTGGTTGTAAGAAGGAAGGGAAGAAGAAGTCTGGGACAAGAGAGAAGGGGAAAAGTTAGGAAGAAGAAGGTGAATCTGGAAGTATCGGAGATAGACAGGCTAAGATGGGAAGCCATGGAGTTGACCTTGTGGCCTCTGAAGGTAAAAGGGCGGCCATCTCGAGTGGGGCACCCATCTCCGATGGCGATGGTGAATATGTAAGTTGCCATACAAGGTACGGTACGAATAAGTGAATCAGTGGTTGCCGGAGATAGGTCCCGGTGGTGAATTGAAGCATGGCCCTCAAGGTTGCGTGAGTAAGTTCAGACGAATTCGACTTGCTTGAGCAATTGAACCCAAGCTACCTCTATGATGTTTCTCCGATGCTCATATTAGATGTTAAAGAAGGACAACATGAAGTCAGCCAATTGTTTACCTCTTCGGCCTTTCTCTTGTACTCACGTCGACTTGGGCCCGGTCATAAGCCTCTTCCACTACCGACTGGAGGCGTATACTTGCGGATCCAGTCTTTGGGCTTGGGAGACTAGACTCTTCGGAGATGGAAACGTGGGAGTCATCGTTTTGAGGGAAGTCCGGTCTTGGGCTTACATCGTGAAGTTGAGGCCCATGTCAGACGCCATAGAGACATGGTAGACTGCAGAACTGCCCGGCGGGAACTAGACATTGCCCTAATGGCAAGGCATATACACGTACAATTAGAACCTAATTGGGAAAGACCACACTGAGTCTATTGGACTCCACCATCGAACCTGTCAAACTCTCCGAAGCGTGGTTCCCACGGCGAGGGTAAAGAGAGCAAATTGGGAGCAAGAACACTGTTGCCAACATGATATCGTGACACAAAGAAATTAAAACATCATTAATCATTTGAATCCTGTTATTAAGCCCGCCAACGCTTTGCTAATCCAATCTCGCCTTGATCTCTTTGGCTCATTATGTAGGAGACATCAAAACTCGCAAACCTCAAAAGAATCATACAAAGCGAACATTATGTTTCAAACAACCCAAGTTTTACCAGACAAATATCCTGGGGAGCTGGTTTACCAAGGAGTCGGAAGTCTGTAACTAAAGTGAGCGGGCCAGCGTGAGGATCTCTTGTGCCGTCTCCTCAGATTTCTCAATGTTGACCCAGTGGCCTGCCCCAGGAATTATGACAGACCCCCTCCAGCAGTCAGACCGGACACTCTCGCCGCTCTCCATGGCTTCAAGAGCACCAGGAACCTGGTACGTTCCCCAATCGTGTGTCCCGGAGACGTATTTCGTCGGGGTCGCCAGCTTTGTTCCCGCAAAACAGAGAAGGTCTGCGGACAAGGCCGGGTCGATGAGGACTTTGTACCACAACAAAGAAAGTCGAAACGTGTTTCGGGAGTATTCGTCAACGTAGACCTGAAGTTCTGCGTCGGTGAGCCATGGTGTTTCACTGAGTTTGGCTCTCACATCGGCCGACTCTTGCGCCATGTCCAGCTCGATATTCCCGCGCATCGATAGGTGCGCTCTCATGACGTAGTAATGTGGCATGATGGAGATCTCTTGTGCTGTCCAGGAGTCGAGAGGTCGAGGCTTGTTTAGACCGTGGTCTGCAGACTTTAGGTGGAAGTATCCCCGGAGGAAATCATGCATCGGCTGGCCTGTGGGATGAGTCCATTCATCGACTGCTCCTGATGAGGCGTTGTAATACTTGTAGTGCTTTCTCGGCGGGTCAAGCTTTAGGAGGGAGGATTGGATGTCATTGTCATTCTTGATTGCCTTCCCGCTATCCTCTTGTTTGGATTCAAACAAAGAAGCTAATTGCGGTGCAGCCCCAGTCCCTAACGGCAGCTGAGGAGATCCCTTGAATGGATGCGCCATCAATACCAAAGACTTGATCATATCTGGCCGCGTGATAGCACACATGGAAGCCACAAATGCCCCGAGATCGTGCCCGACGAGAGTATGGATGGTCTCGTAGCCAAGTGCATGGACTAGGGTGACTATATCTCGCAACGCGGTCAGCGGACGGATGGTCTCTTCGCTGATCGGGCTCAGATCGGCGTTGTGCGTCCGGCCAAAGCCTCTCATGTCGGGAGCGACTGCATAGTATCCTGCCGCGGCAAGCTTTGGCATAACAGCAGACCAGTCGAATGATAGGTTTGGAAAGCCGTGAAGAAGCAGGATCAGTGGCGGAAGGCCTTTGGAGGGAGCATCTTTAGGGAAAGATTCAAGGATGTGGAACTTCAAACCTATGGGCGAAGTGTCGACATAGCGAGAGATGACGCCGGGAGGAAGATCCCACGGAGGTAGTTGTGCAGGATCCATCATGCCCGAGTAATATGACGATCAATATGAGATAGTTGCCACGGAAGGTAGCAGCTACTAGAGAACCCAAAAACCTCTGTGGCCGGAACAGTGTTGTAACAGCTGAGGGACTACAGAGGCTTTTCAACGTTCATTGATCATGTCGAAGCGGTTGTTCGCGTGCCTCGGTTATCGGCAGCCGTTGGAGAACTACGTCACAGGAGATCAGCCACAGCTTATGCGGAGGAATCGAGATGCCGATTACGCCTCAAGCGGCGTATCAACGGCGACTTTTCATTTGAATTACTCAGCTCCGACAAACTAATGCTTAATTTCATCTAGATTCCAGGGTCATTCAACCACAGTTGTATTACTTTCTATCGCGAAGCTGGTGAATTGAATCTCAGAACCGACGGTTTCCTCTTTCATAGCGTGCGCAAAGACACCAAAGATCGGCCCTGTCATCTCTCTCTCAACTAAGTCGGCAACTCGCACCCTCCCCGCTGTATTCCAGTCTCCCGAGTCGTTCTCGCGATAGGAAAATGCGTAATCCTGCGCAGTTGCTTCTAGACGCATACCTAGGACTGTTGTGGAGGTGTTGACTGGGATAAAAGCTGACTGAGTCTTGTCTTCTGACGTTGTTGTCACGCTGAACACCACTTTCGAAGATTGAAAGTCAAATGAAAGAGAAACATGGCGCGGTGCATCCTTATAAATTGCCAGTCCAGCTCTCAAAGGCTGCCCCCTTGATGCACTGGGAACGCTGAGGATTACTGAAGCGGATGCATCAATGGATCGTTGCCGCTTGCCAACAAACGTGCTAGTACCGGTGGGAGTCGATAGATCGCTAGCACTGCACTGGAGTACCAAGCCTGTCTCGCCACTGATATGATACATCTCGAACTCGGGATCGCGGATGTATACCAGATCGACATGCGCCGGAGCCTTATGAATCAATGATTCATTGCCACCAATAGGGCCAGAAAGAACACGCTCAAACTCCATCGTGGGTTGCTGGATCGTTGGCCACCCGTCTTCTGGCCAATCGATGGTGGTCAAGAATGTCTCCCGGCCAAGCGGCGGGCGACCATGCTCGTTGCGCACACCAAGAACCACAGCCCACCAAGCACCGCTTTGATCCTGGAAGAGTTCGCCATGACCGATGTTCTGGATGTACTCGTCTGGTTTCCCATCAGCGGTCATGATAGGGTTTGCATCGCAGGACTCGTAGGGGCCCCAGATATCCTTTGAGCGCCCGATGCTCAACATGTGATGCTCAAAAGTGCCACCCTCGGCGACGAGGAGGTAATAGTAGCCCCCTCGCTTATAGATGTGAGGGCCCTCGGTATCATAGCGCGCGAAGCCGCCCCATATCTCTCGGGTTTCTGTTAGAGCCTTGCCCGTTGCGATGTTGATCTCGAATTGCTTGATCGTGCAGCTGGGCTGTTTGAGGCGGTCTATCATCCAGCATCCCTGTACATAGACACGGCCATCATCGTCAAAATACAGATTGGGGTCGATACCGTTGAAAGGGAAATGAATTGGATTAGACCATCTGCCTGACCATATATCGGTCGTGGTGATGTAGAGGTTGTCTAGGGCGAAGGTGTCTTGATTATGCGTTCCATTTGTGCAAATAATGTAGAAAGCGCCTTGGTGGTGGCGTATGGTTGGCGCAAACAGACCGGCACTGGCGACCATGATGTTACCCGTATCCAGAGGCATCACTGCTGTGCTTGCATGATTGAGGGAGATTTGTTCCCTGCGATTGATGGCATTGCCTTGACGTGTGTCAGTAAATATGCTCATGGAGCTGAGCTCCGGCTATTTCACCTACCAATATGCCTCCAGTCTTGAAGGTTTGTTGAGGCGTAAATGGGTAGCCCAGGAAAGATGTGGAAAGATGAAGTTACCAGAAAGAAGACACCATCGATGAAAACGACCGAGGGATCTGGTGCGAATCCAGACACAATTGGGTTGTTGTATGTGCGCTTAGTCGCCATCGTTGCAACCAACCCTTTGATAAATCGGATGATTGACAGCTGAAAACTGAACTGTCATGAAGCACACACAAGTTTACGGTCCCAGCAGCTTCAAGTTTATAGCCACATGCCCTTCCGATGTGATAACATCCGATCAGCTTCTGGGGATCTGGGCCCGAGATGGAGAAGTGGACCAATTCGCCGCGGAGAATTGCACACCACACCACTACCCCGATCTAAATTGCCGACGAACGCCCATCCCATATCATGACTCGCGATCATTGCTCAGCTCGTCCGATATTCTCGAATTTAGCCGGGCCAGAATGTCTAATAGCGTGCCAAAGAGAGATCTAGCACGAGTGGATATGGCCTCGCTGCCGACATTGTGCATGATTTCAAGCAAAGCCACGCCGACTTGTCGGAGCTTCTCAACCTGTGCAAAAGTCAGCTGTTTGGTCTACTGTTAGCTCGAATCTCAAGATGATTGTGTTTACGCAAGGTTCTCCGTTGGCCTGTAAGGCCTCAAAGGGAATATCCGACACAGCCTCCAAGAGATCGCTCGCTATCTCGACTTTGCGCATAGCAAGCATCATTGAATCGTCTATCAGTCCTAGAACTTCGATGAAGCCTCGCTCTGAAAAACGATTAAGCAGAACCAGGCGCAACGTATGAAAGGTGACAAACAGGTTGGCTTTCTGAATAAATATTGCACGAATGCGGAACTGGGCTGTCGCCTCGCTGAGTGTTCCCGAGAACGCAGTTTTGGGATCACGAACCCAAGTTGGGCAGTTCCGGAGAAAGCTGGTGAAGTCGAAATACAATTGCATGGTAGATTTCTTTAACTCTGATGCATCATTCGAAGTGACCGAGTGCAGCGATCTACTTTTGTCGTATAGTCGTGACAGGAAGTTCAAGTCGACGAGCATTTCAGAAGCCGTATACCAAAGCTGGAAGCATAAGTTGAAACACTGACGCAAACGGCGCTCAAAATCCGCAGTTTCGGATTCAGGGCCGGCCTCAATGAGTTTGCAATCCTCTGTCTCCTCAAATATGGTAGTGATCGGAGTGTCCAGGCAGATCTGATGAAGCGAGATGGGAACTTTGTTGAGAATTGAGGCGGACTTATCCCCAATGTAGAGATGCCAAAAGGTATTCCTCCTCAATTGGGCCTCAGGCCACTCGAGATTACGGAATGATTCCTCATCGTACAACCGCATCTCTTGCACGAGTCGTAGTGCCTCTCCCATAGCATGCCATGACACACTAGTCTTGCCGAGGGCATGTAAGGCGTTGGAGTGGAAGTAACGGATGATGATTGAGCTCGACTCTGGGTGTTCAATGTCGTAGTCTTGGTAGAGTCGAAGAGCCTCTCGTGATGTTCTGAGGAACGGCATCGCAAGTGCTGCGCCACCAGGGAAGATTTCGACTGGCAAGGTAGAGGAAACGACTGCGCAGAGGGCCGTAAGGAGGGCAAATGCCCGGATGGTGGGAATATCTGAGTTGGAATGGCTGGGTACCGAGTCGCTGGGTAGCGAAGTTTCTCTCCGGAGAATCGGAACCACGGCATGCTTCATTTGCCGAACTATTGGTTCGCAGATGATGGGGCTGGTTGGGAACTCCCATTGCATATAAAGATCAATGCAGGAAGATAGCACGTCTTCTAGTGGAACATATGGTAGGGCTTTCCCTAGAGCCGAGAGAAGATCGCCAACGGCTGCGTCGAATGGAGCATGGATTGAAGTACTCTGTCGTGTAGGGTAACTGAGAGGTTGATGCTCGTTCAATGGGCTGGTAACGAATGAACCTGTAACCTGAGAACTTTGTGAGGTGGAATCTTCGCCATTCGGATGGTTGTATCTTGTCCGAGTCTTGGAGTGATCTGTTCTGTGAGCCCGAAAGGGCGGTCCCCGTTTCTTCGCCGGAACAGTGAATTCGCAAGTCATGGACGACATGAGACAGTTGGAGCATTGAGGGCTCTGTGCATCGCACTACAACACGTTGCATCTAGCTTACGTTCGCCGGCAGGTTGCAACTTGATTCTGGGTTGCCATACCTTGACCTTCCGCCGCCTACATCCATCGCAGGATCGTTTCGTCATTGTACCAAGTTGTCGGGTACAGAAATCCAAGGACTTCTCATGAGTAGTTTTTTGGTAATTCTCCGATGTACCGAGGAAAGTGTGAGGAGGGGAAGAATTGGCAAGCCAACGCGTTCCGTGGCCAGGATGTGGGCAGAGACCAACACTACATAATTCGCCGCGGTGAATTAGCTTGACCATTCACAGCCATTCCACGCAATGGAGTCTGCGGGGGTAGCATTGTGTTGTGGGGTAAGAGACTATGAGGTGGGCGTAACCCATGGGGAAACATGTGGTTTCGGTGTCAATCATCTGGGCTAAGGAGTAACCCCGGATCGGAATGATCTATATTGACTAAATACCAAAGCTATAAGTAATCGAGGCTCTTCCTGATGGCTTCAGAGTCTTTTTCGTCAATCCCAGGGCAACTCAGGGAAGGCATCGCTCATTCGCGCGGGTCTGAACACTCTTCTTGCAGCTTGGACTTTCTCTCGAGGAACTTGTTACAACATTTCGCGACTTGGAAACGAATTGAATACAAAGACAATGGCATTGGTCTCAGAGAAGCCCGCTGGCTTTGCTGAGCTGTCTAAAAACAAGAGGGTCTTGGCTTGGTGTAAGCATTGCTCACAACTGACTATCCTCGCTAGCAGAAACCGAGTCTGACCGCGTCCCATCAATAGGCCTCCTAATTTTCATTCTACCCGTCAACTTCGGGTACGAGCTCGCACTCGTTGGCAACATCCTCGCGATTCCTGCCTTCCTTGACCGCTTCGGGACGACCACGGCATCCGGTATCAAGGAGATTCCGACCCAAGACCAGCAAATCCTCAATGCCTCAACTACTGTTGGTATTGTCCTAGCAGCATATTGTACCGGATTTATCTCGGATATTATCGGGCGTCGCATGGTAGTCATATGTGGTTGTGTTCTCTGCATTGCCGGGATCATCGTACAAGGCTTTGCGAACTCAATCTTGATGCTCTTCGGCGGCAAGCTCATCAGCACCGTTGGCTATGGTCTGGGCCACGCTCTGGGACCCGTTTATGTCGCTGAGATTGCCCCAGACTCTCTACGGGGAGTATGTCTCATTCTCATCAACACGATGATCGTCATTGGACAGTGGTCTTGCGCCCTGGTCGGCTACGGCGGGTCCTTCATCAGGAGCGACTGGGGCTGGAGGTTGCCTGTGCTCGCCCAGCTGGCCCCTCCGTTCTTGATGCTGGTACTTGGAGGGATCTTACTCCCAGAATCCCCGTCGTGGCTGTTGATGAAAGGGAGACGCGAGGAAGCTGGGAAGTCACTACGCAAATTCAACGGCCCAAGACACAACGTGGAAGAGAGTTTAGCAATCATGGAAGCAACACTCGAGAAGGAAAAGGCATTGAGCCAAGGTGGTGCGTCATACTTGGACTGTTTCCGAGGTACCAACTTGCGCAGGACTACGATCGTTTGCATGGTGTATTTGACCCAGCAATTTGCTGGTGCTCAGCTGGTTGTGGGATACCTATCATAGTAAGTCTAGACCATCCGGGAATTATTCATCTACTAACATGATTACCTCATAGCTTCTTCACTATTGCTGGGGTTGGCAACCCTATCGGTATTGCCCAGGTTTGTTACAGCATCCAGCTGCTTGGCAATATTTGCTCTTGGTTTCTAGTCGAACGAGTTGGCCGCAGACCACTAATAGTCTGGGGAACTGTTGCTATGACCGCTCTTCTGCTAGTGATTGGTGGTTTGGGTGTTCCCAAGAGTAATCAAAGCGCTCTTACTGCCATGGTTGCACTCATGGCTCTTTGGGGATTCATCGTAAGTCAAGTCAAAGCGAAACCTACTCTTCGATTTATTTCTCCCTCGTCGCTGACAATCAGTGCACAGTTTCAACTTTCGATTGGTGCTGTCGGGTATGCTGTAGGTGGCGAAACTGCATCCCCTCGTCTTCGTCAAAAGACCTACTCCATCAATGTGATGAGCAACACAGCGGCCGCATGTCTTGTCACGCAGCTCATGCCGTTTTTGATCAACCCCAGCAACGCTAATCTCGGGGGCAAGGTTGCATTCGTCTTCTTTGGACCGTCGCTGCTGTGTTCTATCTATCTCTACTTCTGCTTCCCAGAGATGAAAGGCCGCAGTTACCTGGAGCTGGAAAACATGTTTCAGAAGCGATTGCCAACTCGAGAGTTCAAGAACTACCATTCTGAGATTGAGACCGTCGAGGTGGATGATGGGGAGAAGGTTGCGGTGGTCCTGAAGGATTGATGAATTGATACAAACGAGTGCCGAGGCCGTTGTTCTGCTATGCGCATGGTCTACGATAGCAACGAAGATCAAGGAGAATTAATGCATTTCTTCCCAAATCGGGAAAAGTTGACCGCACAAGACTCCCTGCAATGGACACTCTCTACGTTGTGACCATACAGTCTTTACAGATATCTCTGGTTTGATCTATTGACGAAGTGGGGCTCGATACCGTCCTCGGGGTCCGTGATACCCGGAATCCGTGACGGTCGCCAGTTCCTTAAAGAAGTCATCACCCCAGCCTTTCGCTCATATTCTCTCTCCTACCTACTTGAGGCTGAGTCCAGTCGGTGCGTTGCCGTGATAGCCGTTTCCACTTCGCAAGCCTTGGCCTCTTCCATGCCCAAACACAGAGGTTCCACAAAGCTAAAGACAGCCTTCGGCCAGGCCGACGATGCGTAAGTTCACTAATACAATAACCGTAGAGACCCTATTTCCACCTCAGCCCCGCCTGAGAAACCTCCCACCGGGAAGGAGCTCCTCTTATATATGCCATTTTGGGTAATATCTCCAGACCAATTACATAACGAGACGAAAGAGGCAGCCAGAATTAAGAAACAATGTATTCTCTCTGATGGCTAGTCCAACGCTTTAAAACAACCTCATAGTCGTTACTTCTTAATCACTAAATATTCAAGAATCAACGTTAACTTACTCCTTGTACACTTCTTCCTGCGGTTGTGACCACAAGATGTCGACCGAATTTCCACTCCAGCAACACCGGGCCGGTGGTGGCCATCCAAGCGGCGAGCGCAAAGGCATTCAAGAGAAGCTAGACGAATCTCTCTTGGGCCACATCTCTCAACTCTTCAACAAATATGCCACTGCAAACAACACATGGACACGAGACCAGATCAGCATTTTCATGCAGCACGTGCAAGCCGAGGATCCCAATGGTCTGGCGGGTTACCTCATCGACAAAGACGAGTTGGATCTCTTCGAGCTGATCAAATACATCACCTCGCCATGCGGCAACGTTCTCGAGATGGCGGCTGCTCAGGACCTGTCGTGGCCGCTGAGCAGCTACTTCATCAGCTCCAGTCACAACACTTATCTTACCGGAAACCAACTCTCAAGCGACTCCAGCGCCGACGCTTACAGGGATGTCCTCCTCCGGGGATGCCGCTGCATCGAGATTGATGTTTGGGATGGCGAAGAACGATACAAGCCCGGGTTCAACCCCGATGGAGAAGATGAGAACGGCACAAACAATGCACCGGCCAAGGTCAGTCGGAGAGACAGACTAGGCATCAAGGTCGGCCGTTGGATCATGAATAAGTTTGACCCCGTGGATCCAGAAGGCAGGACTGCCGATGACAGGCTTTCGGACATTATTGGGGCTGAGCCGCGGGTCCTTCATGGTTTCACTCTCACCAAGGAGATTCTGTTCCGCGAAGTTTGCCAAGTCGTAAAGGAATACGCCTTTGTCACGTCGGATCTGCCGCTAATTATCAGCCTGGAGGTGCACTGCACTCCACTACAGCAAGCTGCTATGGTCGACATCATGGAGGAGACTTGGGGAGAGTTCCTTCTTCCCGTGCCCGACTTGGAGCCTGCTTCTCTGGCGTCGCCTGAACAGCTACGCAGAAAGATCCTTGTCAAGGTCAAATATGTCCCGCAGGATAAAGACGGTGCCGAAAGCGTCAGTGGGGGCTTAGACGACGACAGCAGCAGCATCCTTGATGTCACGACAACAGAAGGAGGCGAGAAGAAGGCGGTAAAGGTCAAGCCACCCAAGGTCATCTCTCGCCTCAGCCGTTTGGGCATCTACACGCGCGGTATTGCCTTCAAGTCTCTTGAGCAAGCCGAGGCATCAATGCCGAATCACATCTTTTCCCTTTCAGAGAAGACAGCATTTGCTATTCAGAGGAGAATGCCAAAGGCACTGTTCTCGCACAACAGGGACTTCCTCATGAGAACCTACCCACACGGCATGCGGGTTGACTCGTCCAACTTTGATCCTGTCATCTTTTGGCGAGCGGGCGTGCAGGTCGTCGCCCTGAACTGGCAGTCCTGGGATGTGGGCATGATTCTCAACGAGGGTATGTTTGCGGGTTCGAATGGGTACGTCCTCAAGCCTAATGGGTATCGGCGCGACCCTACCGGCGAGTCAGACGACGAAGATATGGGATCCAACATCGAGAGCAAGAAATTGGATAGAGTCGCCGTTACAGTGCTGGCAGCTCAGAATCTTCCTCTGCTCAACCCACATGATGATCCCACAAAGTTCATCCCTTACATCAAAGTTCGGTTGCATACGGAACCAGATGCGCTGTCCGCCATGGTGCGTGAGGATGCCGACGGGGAGCAAGTCACACAGATTGGCTACAGTGGCCAAACGAGCAAGAGTACTGGCACTAGCCCGGATTTTGGCGGCGAGGTGATCGAGTTCCTGAACGTCGAGGGCGTTGTTCCGCAGCTGGCTTTCCTCTCATTCGTCGTCATGAATGACGTTGTCGGGCCGGATGTCATGACTGCGTGGGCATGCGTCCGATTGGATAGGTTGAGGCTTGGATATCGCTTCGTCAGGTTGCTCGACAAGGACGGTATGCCCAGCAAGGGCTTACTTCTAATCAAGACGGAGGTTGCGGAAGCCAGCACCGAGTAGCACGAGTAAAGTGATCAAGATAAATTTCCTCCTTCGTTTCTTAGCACTGAATCATTGTAGTGAGAAAATGAGATTGCATTTTACTTTGACAGATATCGTAGTGCCAACTGAGTCCATAATCGTATGAAGCCTTTGGTGATCTAATGGGTCCGTTATTCGATTGGACGATGACGATATCGATGTGAACTGGTGCTGTGTAGTCGGATAGCCGCGAAACTCTGCCGCGAACCGGAGGCTTACCGATGAAAAAGCCACATGCAATCCCGGACCTGCAGTCGGCTTCCTTCCGATACGGGCTTTCTGAAGACTGATATCGATTCGCTCTTGGTGTGGTTAACATGCATCCTTTGACCCACATCAAGTCGGGTTGCGTGCTCGACTTCCAACAAGACGCAATGCCACCCATCCCGTGGCGCCATTGTTTAACGTGCGGAAACCTCATAAATTGGCGCCAAATCATCGGAACTCAATTGAAGAGTAGATGTGTGTAGGATGCCAATGTCTCATATGAGCCTCGGAAGCGCAAGAGTTGCCGGAAGTCGTGACTGAACAACTAATAAGCCACTCAGTACTGGCTTCATCGTTATCTCTCAGACTTTGGATTGAGCTATAGGACGAAACCAAACGACATGACGAGCAGGATTAAGAGAGTGGCCGTAATCGGTGCTGGGCCCTCAGGCGCAATTGCTACGGATGCCTTGGTCAAGGAACAAGCTTTTGACACAGTCCGAGTCTTCGATCGACGACCAATCCCAGGAGGAACCTGGTAAGCTGAACAATCATCTCTTCAACCCTACAAGACTTCTAACTCTTACCATAGGATCTACACTCCACACTTGCCTGCCAGTATTCCATCTCTCAAAACACTCTTAGATGGAAAGGCCGATGCTCCCGTTCCAATTCCATCTCAGCTTCCAGCCCAGACACCCAAGTCCGAGGCCATCAACAGTCATCAGATCCGGTTTTCGGATACCGCTCAGCATGAACACCTCCACACCAACATAACCCCAGAGATCATGAGCTTTACCACTGAACCCTTTCCGGAAACTTTGACTGAACGCATTCGAGAGAAGTATGGTGATGACGCTCCCTTCCGCGGCCGGGAACAGATCCGGGAGTGGGTTGAAAACATCTTTGTCCGTAATGGACATAAAGAACTGCTAGAACTCAGTACCACCGTGGAACTTGCAACCAAAGAGGGTGACGAATGGGTTCTTACACTGAGGAAAGAGCTCCCTGGAAAAAACCACTGGTGGCAAGAGAGATTTGATGCCCTCATTGTAGCAACTGGGCATTACAACGTACCCTGGCTTCCGAATATCGAAGGAATCACGGAATACGACGAGAGGTTTCCTGGCCGTATTGTGCACAGCAAGCACTTCAGAGATTCTGATAAGTATAAGGGAAAGGTAAGTCGATATCCCGACCACCCAGTTGAGGTCAGACGCTTATCGTACCCACAGAAAGTGATCGTTGTGGGAGGCTCAGTATCGTCGCACGAAATCTTACACGAGTTTCTGCCGGTTGCCCAACACCCGGTCTATGCTTCACTTCGCGGAGAGCCTCTTCCTCACTTTGGCTGGGCCCCTTTCACGCACCCCCATATCTCTGTCCAGAAGCAGATCATCAAGTTCGACTCAGATACTGGCGCCATCACCTTCGAGGACGGAACCGTAGTTGAAGGCGTAGACTATGTGGTCTTCGGGACTGGTTTCACTTTTAGCTTCCCCTTCTTGCCGGAGGTACAAGAACGCATACGTCAAGTTGACCGTAGGTTATCGGGAGTCTACTTCCACACTTGGGATATTGAAGATCCAACTCTTGCCTTCTTAGGAATGGTAAGTTACTGAATTCTGTTTCGTATGAGACGACGATGCTGACAGACACGGTGCAGTGTGGAGGTGGCTTCACTTTCCGCCTTTTCGAATGGCAAGCAGTCGCGGTATCTCGTCTTCTGGCAGGCAGGGGCAACCCCTTACCATCAAAGAAGGAACAGAAGGCATGGGAGAAGGACCGTGTTGCCGAGTTTAGTGGAGGTAAAGACTATTACACCATTGCGCCATTCTACAAAGAGGTGTTTGAGTACTTCAGGTCGGTGGCAGGGGATCCCGCGCCGGGAACGACAGGTCGCATCTTGCCACCTTTCGACGACAAGCTATTAGATATATGGGCGGCCATGGGATCTGCGAAAACCAACTTCTGGGAAGACTCCAGAAAGAAAGCCGAGGCTGAGCTCGATGGGAAGCCCATCAGATCGAGGTTATAGATTTCACGAGTCACGCATTGGCACCACAAGCTCTGGCGTTGCTGCATCACATTGTGACGGCGAGCGTCGATTCCTTAGTTGCTACCAAAATGATACGACAAAAGTGCTGCAGTCATCTTCTTTCGCTCTCGTCACGATCCAAACCAACGCGTCGCTGTAGAAATGTTCCACTGTGAAAACCAGCGACAAACTTAAATTTTCAGCTTCCTTCAGAGAGCCGAGCCATCCAATATCACGTCGCAACTATCAGACAATCCTTGCTTCGTCGACGGTTTGATCGCTCCAACCGTAGTAGCGAGCATCTGCCCTGTCTTCTTCCAGAACCCTTCAGGCGTTTTGTCTTCGCTTGGCGCAGGCGCGCTTTCGGCGGAAGGGGCTAGTCTACAGTCGCGACATAAGCCCGCTCCTCCAGGCAGCTTCTCATCCTCACAGGTCTCGCGATACTAGCAATCGAAACCAGATGTGACACATTTGTCGCAGCGAAGGACGGCAACGTGTCCGATACGATGGCCACAATCGAACGTGTAGTACATGTTTTGACACATTGTGGAGGGAGTCCAAAAGTAGCTGAGTAACAGAATCAACATCAAAGAACCAAGGTCTCTCTTTGCTTTGCGCTTTGCTTACTTCACTTTGAATTGGCTGTTTGCTGTGAGAATGATAGTCACTGTGGCTTGTGATGCGGAAATTGTGTGTGTTTGGAAATCGTTGCTCGTGTGTAGTGGTGTACTTTTGGTACGATTGATATTTTATTTGTGCGGGAGGAAGAGGACAAGTTGACCGGATTGCGCACAAAGTTGACTTTATAGAGTTTTCAAGAAGAAATGCAGATGAGCAAAAGTAGTAGGCAGTGTTGTCATTTTCCTTGTTTTTGTGAGGAACTTCACCTTTGCTTGCGTCTGGCCAAAACACGTTCACCTTTGTTAATCCATAGACGTACGGAGGGCTATGATCAAGTGCTTCACCTTTTATCCCAATTAGGCAAATTTGCAACTCTACGTTCCCCACCTGAGGTCTTTCTCGCTTTTATGGTTCGTTCGGGTCTCAGTAGCTTCAGAAGTGCGTTTTCAGATTTTTAGGAATACTCCAAGGGAGAAATGGAGAGAGCAAAGAGGCTCGTTGCGAGTCCTCTTGGATGTGTTATGACCTTGTCCAGCCACACTTTTCGAGACACCCCAGGTCGGCAGTGGCTGAGGCGCAAGTGCCTATTGCCTTTTAACGCTACAGCCAAGGGGTGCCAACTAATCACCCTTCTTAATTTCTCCCTTTCCCCAGAGCAACTACATCACCATCTCATAGCGAGACGTCGATTGCACGACATCTTATAGTAGTCTCGCCATGTCGTCTGACAGCAACATAGTCGCAAGAGTGGGCGACAAAAGGCGGCGCGACGATGAGCTTCCTCGCGATGATCGTCCCCACCAAGTTCGTCGACTCCATGGCTCACAACATGAGTCGGATCGCCCGCCTAGTGCCGTGGACTTTGCCGCTCTGCAAGCTCGAGTCGATGCGATTGAGAAACAATTCAGCAACCACAGGCATCTTCCCAATGAACAGGACGAAGTGCTTATGCTGACGCCATCGGATGAAATGCATATCACTGATGATCCGGATAGTAGATCTTCGCTAAGCGCCTTGCGTAGGGAGACACAGTCCCTACATGTACATATCGACAGTGCCTTTCCAGCTTCGGCTTTTCTCGACGGCGATCGATTCCATACTGAGGCCTTACTTGAAGAGCTGTACCGACCAAATTTCTCAGTACCTGAGGTAAGGCTCACAGCTTAGTTCCCACGTAGTTTAACATCTAATATCATAGACAACTGAAAGGCCATCCTATCGGTCGTCAATGAGAGCGACAACGTCAAAAACTCCTGCGACGAGTATTTCAACACCGTTCACATCTGGTTTCGGTTCCTATCCGCCAAGAAGCGATTGCAAGCTCCATTTGCTGAAAATTGTGAGCCGGACATAGTCGCGCTTGCTCTGGCAATGAGACTCATGACATCCGACCCCGACGACGACACTTGCGGCTACCTTTATAACCAGACCAAAGGCTTTTTGGACACAATCGTGGCTAGAGGAGTTGTGTCACTGCCAGTTCTTCAGGCAATGATCCTTGTTACACTTTACGAATACTGTCACGCGGTCTACCCTGCCGCATGGGTGAGCATTGGATTATGTACTCGGTACATTGAGCTTGTGGGCGTATCCTGGGCAACAAGAGAAACGGCTTTCCATGGATCAATAGACACCGTTGCGCTAAGAAAGCCTGTAAGTCTTCGGATCCTTTGACGCTCTCACAGTATTTATCCATGATGAAACTGGCATTAACTGAACAGCGACAATGGTTCGAAACGGACGAGGAAGAAAGAAGGAGATCATGGTGGGCCGTCTTTATACTTGACAGACTTATGTCTGTCGGAAGCAAGCGTCCATGTGCAATATCAAGACCTCAGGAAGACATTAAACTTCCGATGCATGACGACAAATGGGTTGGTACTTGTTAACGAGCACTTGACCTTGAAGAACAGTGCTGCATTTCGTTTGCTCATGGGCTAATTTGTAATAGGAATCTCTCGACTATGATGTCCTCGGGGACTTTGAGTACGACTGGCGGCCGGTAATATCTACAGAACACTCCGGGTTCTCACGACTCTGCGAAGCCGCCCTCTTGATTGACAGCGCACTTGTACTATCTCGCATTGAGGGCACACTCGATCAGGTTCACATTGAAGATACCGTCAGTCATTCTAAGAAAATTCTAGAATGGATTGATACCGTCGACCAGGAGTCAAAGTCTCCAAATGGCACCGACCTTGCTCTTCGACTGATCGGACCTCGCTTCGCCGCTCGCTCGGCTCTGTTCCTTTGCGTCAAAAAGCTCACCTTGCGCGCGAAGGTTACCACAGACGGCAAATATCTACTGAAGCCCCATCATGGGGACGAATCAGAGAGTCACGAAATGAAGAAGATACAGAGATGTTCAGCAAGAGTTGTATGGCAGGCGAGTCTGGACATACGAAACATTTCGAAAGCACTCTACAACCAATTATTTGATGGGAAAGATTCCATCGGAAATCTGGGTATCATATCACCGTTCATACTTGATGCCGTGTATAATGCATCATCTAACCTCTACCGACTCTCAGAAGATGGAGCTAGCAGCCAATCATACCAATCTGACGTACTGAGTTTAACGAAGTTCTTGGATGAGCTCAGTATGCGATGGAGATCTGCAAGAGAATACAGGAAGATGTGTGAGAAGCACCTTGGCAGTATGCCAGGACTAATCACGGGGAATTGATCAAGTTGACGAGTATCGAAAAGCAGATGAAAAATATACCGATTGGTTTCCAGAGGAGAACCGCCCAAAAACTCGGCGGACATGCCTTTTCTCCTCGTCATTGACACTGAGCTTCACGACCCACTGCCCGCAACTGTCTCATTTACCTTGCCATGACTCCTCAAGGACTTGAGCAGCTGTTTTCGGAACAATGTCTGGGAACCTGGAGTTCAAAGTGTCCTCGGTAGGAACAAGAAACTTGCCGATGCCGGCGTAGTAGTGGACCTTGGCAAAAAGGGCCTCCGACTCTTCGCGGCTGAGCTCGAAATCAGGGAAATCCTCAATGAAAGAAATCTTTCCCGACTTTAGCTTCTCCAAGTCATCATAAGCGACCCTGAATGCGGGGCCTGCATGCAGTTTTCTGTCAGTACGAATCCTGGACTCACGCATGTTTCATAAAGACTTGATCTCACCTCGTGTCTTCTCCGCCAATTCGAGTATCTCAGAAATCGAGTAGTTCTGAGCCACGATGCTGCTTACTTTGGACCACTTGTCAAGACCGACCAGGCGGGCGATGTACTTTGCCATATCCTGCGTTGTGATGAAGTTGGCCCTGGCTGAGCCGTCGCCAGGAATTACAGCCCACTTCTTCTCCAAGTTGACGAAGTTGACCCATGGGTGGAGATGCGTCTTGTAGTGTGGCATGCCAAAACAATCCAAGAAGAAGCCGTTCACAACTCGAGTGTACTCGATATCTGTCTTATCGAGCTCGTCGATTGCCTCAAACGCGTATTGGGCGAGAGGATAATGCGAAATCTGGCTAGGTCATTGTTAGCATCCACCTGTCATGAAGGTTGACGGGAGGCGTAACCATACTCCCTTGTGTGCAGCATGTCATACGCACTGACGATGAAGCGGCGCGTCGAGCTGGACGTGTTCGATGCTTTGACTAGATTAATTTGAGCCTGGTTGGTCTCCGGCGTGACAACACCCATGGCGGAAATGACAGTGTCAATTTGGTTCTCTTGCAAGATCTTGCTGATTCCTTCCACGTCCTGGTAATCAACAGCGAGAAACTGTACCCCATCCCTTGGTTCTCGGCTCTGTGCAATGAAGTGTTGGTCAATACCTTGATGAGATGGACCAGGTGATCCCGTAGATACTGACCGTTCTCGAGAGAACGAAGACGCTATGGCCGCCGTGAGCAACGATGCCCTCGACGATAGTCTTGCCTACCGCCCCCGTGCCGCCTGCAATAGCAATGATAGCCATAGTAATCTAGAACTTGATGCGGTTCGTAGATGATTAAATTATTAGTTTCAAGCGGACAACTGTTGACCGAGCTGGATGTGGTGTAAAATACTTAGTAAGTTTTTCAGCTTGAGTTGGAATCGCGAGTTATATAGTGCTCTTCATGACTTGGTCGCTAGTCCTATTGTTGCTTTGAAATCCAGCCTCTTCTACAGAGTAAGTAAGCAAAAGTATGATCTCGAGCTTGACTAGCTAGCCTTAGACATCAACCGCGGAATGATAGAAAGCTGCATGATTTGCAAAAGCTGACAACGGTCTGCCCGGGATCACGGCTGGAGAAATGTTGGTGAGTGTACATCGATGGGCTCGGAAGTTGGAACATGTTCCTAATAGGGAAAAGTGCGGGGAAATACGGCGGGAGCCATGATACTTTGGTGTGGATCTCCGTGGCAGTGGGCGGGAAATAAGTTCCTTGGACCCCGACTTATTTGATCTCTTACCCGTTGATCATGTCCCTCAGTATTTTAGTCATCGCTTCTGTCACCTCCACCAAAAGCGATTGCATTCTCTCGTTGCGATCGTCACTGCAAATATCTGCATGGAGTTTTACTTCGTTGCACTAAGTAACTGGCCCGCATGGTTCTCGATTTCGTCTACGATGATCTTTCCTACAGGGCAGTACGCAACAGACTGACTAAACCCTAACCGTTGTTTCACGGAGTTTACGACAAGATCTGCTAGCTGTTGGGTATGATTGAATTATTCTCGCAGCCGCTGGACGTCACCCGCCGAACTGCGACGTCCGGCGACAACACGAATGGTAGTAATGCAGCAAGCCGTAAAGAGGCCGGTGCCAAAAGCAACACCAAACTGGCGACATTCACTGCCAACAAAGGAATCAAAATAATCGGAAAGCGGAGTTAAAGGATGGGGCGTGGTGTTTTCGGCAGTCTGCGCGATAGTTTTCATTTCTCGATCTGCTAAACACAGCCGTAGCCTTTGAGTCTTACCTCTCCAAGCAACAACTTCAAGCGTACACGCCTTCTCAGATTGACACTCGGTTTTCATTATTTACCTGGTTATTACCTACTTGGCTGGCATCTCGGTAGGACCCATGGTTGACGAACATGGGCATCGCGTTCAAGTTGCTGTTAGCAGCATCATCATGGTCGGCAGTTTTGTCGTCTTGAGTTTCTGCGACAGCGAATTACAACGTAATGCCTGTCTCAAAGAGACAAAGACACTGACGAACTGAAAACAGCCTACTATCGACTGAATCTGACCTCGCGGGCCCTGGCTGGTCATGGCGCGTCTTTGATGGATACCCCTTGCCTTTGCTTTCAATGGGCTTTGGTTCAACAACAGACGGGTTCTGGCTCCGGGAATCGTAGCAACCAGCGGCTCGATTGCGGGCATTGTTTTTCTCTTTATTTTGTGCAGAATTGCAAAAGCTCGGGGTTGCTCGAAGTACGCCCCTCTTGGCTTTAACATGCCCATCTCGTACTTGCGAAGTTGCGATCTTGACCAAGATCCTATGTCTACGAACGCGTCTGCCTTGCAGCAAAGTCTTCGCTACTAGCTGGCCAGACTCTTACTTGCTCGAGGACATGACTTCTTGTTTTAATGTGAGGGAATCTTTTCATGGAGTATGAATTGCTTACGCCCCTCGCGTCTTTTGTGTCATTTCAGCAAGTAAGGGAGAAACCGGCAACGCAGACTAGGCATTGACGACTCTCGTCAATGCCGGCAGCGTTTTCGGCCGCATCATTCGCGTTTACTTCCAGTTGAGTTCCTTCAGTGATATTAATGTGAGTCTAAGCAGTACTTTTATCGGTCAACGATACTACCGTTGGGACTATGGCCGTCACTTGCCCACGGCCATGCTCCATTCTAAGAATCGGGACATTGACAGATATTCCTCTTAAGGGGCTGCTGTTGGGAATCAATAATAGTTCCGGCTTTGGGTAGACGCCGTTCATCCTGTTCACTGGGCCCACATACATTGTACCTCTCATCTTGCATTATATTGTAGCAATAACAATGGTTCTCGGACCAAATGCTTCAAGGGTTCTTCGATACGTTTGCTCTCAAGTAATAACTATCATCAAAGCCTCGATTTCCCTATGCGGTCTTCCCTTCGGTGCTGTAGTGAAACGAAATCGCCCAGGGATTCCCTCCTGCGTGAAGACAAATCTGCAGACCGCTTTTGGGCACATTCATTACCTGTATTGCTAACAAGTAGATGAAAACCCCGCCCTTTCGTTCCTATTTCAAGACTTCAAAAGTAATCTCCCTCAAACGAATTACTTACAATGTCAAACTTATCCCCTAACTCTCTCTCAGTTCTTAGAATAGATACTCCCTGCATCTCTTTGCTTGACCCCAAGAAAAAATTCGTCCACCCGTTGGTCCTGTCATTTATTTAATTATCTCTTTCCTCGCTCTATCGTAGAGGTCTTGTAGAATTTCTCGTTTTGTTATCCGTGTTGATCATCTTCCAGGCTTCAAAACCTACCCGGCTACAAACATGTGAGTCTCCTGGAACATCAATTTACGAGACTTACTGACCAAGCTAGTTGATAATGGCTACTCCTTTTCTGCCAGATAACAGTGGGACTACTGTGGTGATGGCTTCACGACAGTCATACCTTGGATACAAGCGCGACACCAATCTGCTTCTTTCCTGGATGAGGAACAAGACCAACAACGTCATAAACTCTAGTGAAGCTTTCACTCAGGAGATTTACAAATCGACTCATATCCGAGTTAAAGACTTGTCATCGATGGCGACCCTCATTGTGGCTGGTCAGGTCGAAGTTCCCTCTAAAGTCTTCTATTGGCTTCGCTCTGTCATTCGCGCAAGAATCGCCCATTACGACTCATGGGTATCCATTGTCTCTATGAATCCCGATGCCAGGATTGAAGCAAGCAACAACAATCATCGGTACTTTATCGATACTCTCGTCAGCGTCTTTATCACCCTTGGGGGGGAGGCCTGGCTCTCTCGGCCAGGGGCTACCCCGGACAATTCGCCAGGCAAGCCAGTCAAGGGCCCGGGGGCCCAAGCCATCCAGTTCAAGAAGGTTGCAGAGGCTGTCGAGGATTTCATTTTTTACAACATTTTTAGCGCCCTGGACCTCGGCGAAGATGAGCAGACGAGTGAACCAGAATCTGAGAGTGGCAATGAGGGCCAGAGTGTCATCCAAAACAAGAAGAAAAGGTTCAACAAAGGAAAGAAGAACCAGAAGAGCAAGGCCAAAAGCAAAGGATCGAAGAAAATACACACATCAGGGTCTGACAAGGAAGCACCCCTCGACAGCTACCGCATTTTTGAAGCTGACGAGGATCTCATGGACGAATACAGCATGGCCGCCAGTGCCTTCAGGTCGGAGTGGTGTGATATGCGAACGTACCTCCAGGATATCTGGGAGGACGTCGCATATCATGACCTTAACAGCGCAGTAGCAGGGGCTGTGTCTAAGGTAGCCATTGCTAAGGTCAGAAAGACAGAACTGGCCATATTTGTCGACTTCCCTAGAAACGACTGTTATCACAACATCATCCAAGCCTTCGATCGAAGCATATCGAAGCAGATATTTGGCTCAGACACTGTCGCAGATATTCATGACAATGTTGACATGGGACACAACGGTGACATTCGAGAGCAACTGCTCCTCCATACATATCAAGATTATCCTTCAGGAATTGGACATTGTCTGCACCATATGATCCGAGAACGTCTTGTTCTGGGTTGGCATAATTCATGTATAGGAAGGTCGAGTAGCCTTCAAGGGAAGCGGAGTATGCTCTGAGTTCCTCGATGGCTCTGCCCATCATATTCTCAACAACGCCTCCATACTCTGCATCAGTGGCTGCTAGGGTACCTCTAGCCTCGAAGAGAATCGAGTCGGAGGGTAGGTTTTCGTCGAAGCCTAGTATGTTGTTACCGGGCGTGACGGCGGCAAGGTTCTTAGGGAGGGGCTGGAAGACGAAATTGACGGAAACCGGAACACTGGTGGCGTCGAATTCTTGTGTCAAAGCCACGAAGATTTCCGCAGCTTTGTTCATGATTTCCGCAGTGGCCTGAATGGACAGAGAGAAAGGGATGTAATGCGAACCACCGGTGTCAGCAATGGTCGCTGCAATCTTACTGAGAGGTTGTTTGGATCTCACGTCTCTCGTCAAGGTAATGTCATTGAAAGGAGCAAACGTTGTCGAGTTCTCGTTGCCGTCAGTGCTGACTGCCATGGCCATCACAGCCAGATTACCAGCGTCGGATCGATAGACAACAAACTCGTGGTCGGGGCTGCCGGAACCAATTGAGCTGGCATAGCTGACAAACTGGTCAACCACGACGCTCAAGTCGCTCCAGGATGCAAAGAGTAGGCCGCCATAGGCACCAGTAGGGGGTATGGTGAAGGTTCTGAGGTCGAAACGAGTGACAATGCCCAAGTTGCTTCCGCCACCCTTCAAAGCCTTGAACAGGTCTGTGTTCTCCTCTATATTAGCCTCGACTATCGATCCATCGGAGAGGACAACCTCGTAGCCGACGACATTGTCGCATGAAAAGCCATAAAGCTGCGTGTGGTGGGAAGCACCGCCAGACACTAGCAGGCCACCAACGCCGACGTGACCAGATCGTCCACCTGTTACTCCCAAATTGTATGGCTCGAGGTAGGTCATGACGTTGCCCCAACGGGCAGCAGGGCGGATCTGCGCGATGTTCTTCCCGGTATTAGCTCGTCACTCTGCAAAATCACAACAGAGGTTTACTTACCTTGGTCAGAACACTTCGGCCTATCCAATTCGCAGTACCATTGAAACAACTACTCTTTACAAGCTCAGTAGAGTTGAAGAATGTGAGATCGATAGTGACTCCTCGGTGAGCAGCGTTGTTGTCGTAGTCACTGTGGCCACCAGAACGAATAGCAACGTCCCAGTTCCCAGCACCGCTTACGCCACCCAGAGCTTTGATGGTGGAGGAAACATCTTCGGTCGAGCGCGGCTGAACGATACAGTAGGGTCGAAGTCGACGATTCTCTGACGAATAGTACGTCGAGGTACTCTCAGTGTAGGCAATGTCGGTCGGAAAGACGAGAATATCCCCAGGCCCGGCATCAAAGAGGGCATCACACTTTAAGTTCAATCAGTATCTGACGTGCAAAAGAGGAGGCAGTGGCCACGGTGCAGGTTCGTCGCAACAGAGAGCAGAGATATCCCGCCAGTGAGAGAACTTACAGCTTTGAACCCGGATGATGTGGTGTTTAACTGAGCCAAAACTTGGCTGAATAGCCCGAGTAAGGCAGCTATGCCAAGATACCCCTTCAGAACCATGGTGGATAAAGGAATGACTCGGGCGAAAAACACCAAAAGAGAATAAAGGGAGAGGGTAGTTTGGTGCTGATACTACAGCCTACTCTGTGTTGCGAACGCTGGGCCCCGAGTCTTTATTTACTTACAGCATGCTCAATGCCAGATAGAAATGCATCCGCCTTACTTCGTTACTGCTCTCTGAGTCTCTCCCTCCTTCCAGTCTGAAGTCCGCTTTGCGATCTCTAAGTGCAGGAAGATCGCAGACCATTGGCACTGAAGCCACCAGTCACACATCGGGACCAATACGCGGCACGGAGGACATCACAGAATAGGCCTTTAGACCATCATTCCGGCTAATCTCATCTCATCATCCACCAGTCCCTGGAATAGCTCGGTCTCGCATCTTCAGTTCTTTGGTCAATGGTATCTTTATTTGGGGCATACATGCGGCACAGCGTAGAAATCCTCGATTGGTTCTTTAGCGATTATGAAACGCAATGTCGCTTGTATGCAGCTGGACGACTCCAGGTCTTGACGAATTTCTGCCAAGTCGGAACGGTACCCAGGACCCTGGAGGCGGGTGAATATCGTAGTTTGTCGTTGGTCGAAGGCTCGTAGTAGACCGAGCTGCGCCGCAGCGCCGCATACAATTCCGGATACTTCCTCGGACTTTGCTTGATATGGTCATTATGCGGATTTTGCCAAGAGACACGACGAGGGTCGGCTCATACCTCCGCAATGCCCGGCCAGGACCAACTTGGAGATACGACTCGGTCTACAGAATGTGGTACCAGGAGTAGACCTTGGTAAGCAACTTAGCATGAACTTTAGAGAGCCGGTGCAGTAGCCTGCTGACTGGCATCCTGGCCTTACATAACTGCCTACCATGCCCTGGTTCAAATCTGGGTCAGATTTCCTGAGAAAGACCTCCCCTTCGGATTTCCGATGGGCTTTGGAAGAATCTCGGTGGTTTAAAGCCACCTGCTCAGATCTCCATTTGATTGTCATCGTCATGGCGTGGACCAACAGCGATCTCTTGGTGCTTGTCCATGCAACAACATGGGTGGTAAGTCAAGTTTGCGAAACTAAGGGTCCAAGGCCGCCTGATTTGAGTTGTGTACCTATTCTAACAAACTCCTCGATCTTAGATGCTCTTTCTATCAACTGTCTTCCTCGCCCTCCGAGTCTATAGCCGGCTTCGAAGCACTGAGATCGGGCTACAAGCAGACGACTGGGTGCTCGTTGCGGGATGGCTCTTCTTGCTTGTAGCATCAGCAAACGTGTCCTGGTTGATGGCTGTGTTTCTTGTTCGAGGAAACCTGCTGAAGATCACCATTGCCCGAACCCATCATAACCTTCAATCTGTCGCTCTAGGGCTAACGAAGACATCGTTTGGAATCATACTGTTGCGGTCGATGCCCGGGGGTTGGGAAGCCAAGCTCATATGGGGCGTTATCATTACGATGAACCTACAATTTGCGATACACATCATCGCAACGTGGCAGGCTATCTGCGGTGCACCAGACCAAGGACATATCGGAGGGGATAGATGCTGGCGATTAGACCAGTCGGTAGCATTCACTGTCTTCAGTGCATGTGAGTTTCAATCATGTCTGGCAGTGGTATCTAAGTCTGATTTGTCTGCTGCAGTATACTCGGCGATTTGCGACATCGTTCTTGCTCTTCTACCTTGGAAGATGATCTTCAACCTACAGATGAAACAGTCAGAGAGGATAAGTGAAGCAGTGGCTTTAAGCATGGGAATCCTAGCAGGTGTTACAGGGGTTATGAAAGCTGTCCAGGGTTACATGCTGATCAACGTGAGATCTCCTGATTGTAAGGGGTTCATTCCGTGTTGAACACTAGCATGCGCTGATGTCGATTTGTTTATCAGATTTATACAACCAAGCAATCTACTGGGTATGGTCCATGGCAGAACCAAACGTCACGATTATCTCAGCGTCCATACTAGTTCTCCGTGGTTTCGTTCGCCAGGTCCGGAAACGAACAGAGTCCTCCGCGGGAGCTGGGACATACATCAAGACGGGGGATCCCAGCGGAAGGTTTTACAATCAGAGTACTGTGACGGCGACAAGAGCAGAGCCAAGGGATCAGGATGCTTCTAGTGACAGCAGCATACTGGTTTCGGGGCAGCATGGAAGCAATGCTGGTGGAAGAGGCGGTATCACATGGACTACCGAGGTGAGCGTTGAATACGCACCTCGACCTCAGACCGGACATTACAAATGATCAATCGAGACGGACATGTCAAAGAGTGTGGGTGAGTTCGAGATGGAGCCTATAGATCGCCGGAAAGGCAGCATATGATAGTTCTTTTTTTCTTATCTTTCGATGTCCGTGTCAAAAGTTGCCGCATAAAACCAGGATACTACCTCTTGTGTGCTGCAGCTGACAAAACTAAGTACCCAGGCCTTTTCGGAAGGGTTGAAGCTTCGAACCATTTCTGAAAAAGTCCACAAGCAAGACGAATCACTGAATCACTCGTGCGGGTCCAATGTGCTTTCAACTTGTATTATGCATTATCTAGGCGCTTCCCTAAACCTTGACTTCGTAGATGCCCAGATTTTCCCAGTTGCTGACGGTAGTGAAATTCGTTTGCGGTGAACCGGTATCATATCAATGGGTATCCGTTGTTCTAGATCGAATGATCTAAGGAGGGCAGGGGACGACAATGGTGTGCCAGGCCGGGATAGAGTCGGGGTTCGGGATGCCGTTCATGGCGGCGATGATGTTGGCGGTGGAACCGAAGTCGGCAGCGATCTCGTTGAGGGTATCGCCCTCGACGATCCAGTACCAACCGCGGCCGGGGTGGGATCTGTCGCGTCTGCAGTCGCGCTTGGGCTTGTCGGCAGCCATGGCGACGGCCGAGAGGGCGACAACGAGGATAGAGGCGGCGTGCATTTTGGAGTTGGGTTTACAGGCTGGTAAGGACTGACTGGTTGTTGTAAAGAGCGTATAGGTTGAGTGTAGTAGTTTGGTGACTTCAAAATCAAGCTGTCTTTGGTTGTATTTAAAGACTGGGAGAGTCGGGTTTCAAACTGAATGGTTTCCCCATTTCATGACTATCGGTAATATCCTCCTCGCTCTCGCCTCGTAGACGCATGACTTGTGCAGCGCCTCAGTTTCCCAAGGACAGGCTGTTTTTGCCCTGTACGAGTCAAGCTCACGACGATCGCATTCTTCTTAGACCACCACATGAATCATTGTATCAAAATCTATCGGTGAACTGTTGGTCAGACTGCCGGCAACACGGACATTTTTTGCCGGCTTCAAGGTTACGGCTAGCAGTTTTCATTTAGGTTATAGTACCCTGAGACTCACAAATCACGGAATGGAGACAGTAGAACCACAACCACGGAACTCTAAGTAAGCAGTCAACTGTACGGGCTTGTCGATCATTCACCGCAACTGCTGATTCTCCCGAGGTAGCCATAGGGTTTCGGGTATTGCCTAAACGCCTCACCTCTTTTTCAACCACGCAAACTCAACACGGGGACTTTAGGCATAAAGGAACTGCGAAAGTTGATCGACTCTCACCTAGTGAAAATCCTACTTAGTACCTACTCTACTTCGAGATTTAATGTATAGCGGTCGGTCTGGAGACCATAACTTACCGTCAAAGAACAAGTTCTCGATTTTCTGAGACCTAAAACTGGAGAACGAGATAACGGAGTAGTTCGTCTTGGTTTCGGCAACGCAAACCCGGGCTCTAGCAAGCAGCGACAGTTCGAACATGTCACGAGAAGTAAGCTTTCGTACAAAGCTTGCCCATTGTCATTTTCAAATAGAAATACGAGCATAGAGAATGGGAAAATCTTTGTACGAATCACAGAAGGTTCAGAACAATATAGGGCGCGGAAATTTGCAATTTGCGGTCACAGTGGGGGTATTGCGAGAGTTGTACTTGCGCCATCGACAGCGGCCGCCGCAATGAAGACTTCGGGTTTGAAATTCGTGCCAACCCAAGTTTTCTATGGACAACGAATAAAGAGCATATTGAATCTCACGGAAGAAGCAAATGTCAAAACTCACATGCGTCAATGGCCAACCAGAACAACAAGTCTTTACTACCTTAGCCAAAGGAAGCCAAAAAATCGTGCACATGAGAGAAGGTCACGAAACGGGGTCTGTTTGTAATGGGGCATATGTCTTTATTCATTATATCCCATGTCATAAATCTAAAATGTACAGTGATCCAATCTAGTATCCCCGTCCGATGCCCATTACTCCGATTACTACATTAGGTATGGTATAGGTAGTTTACATGCAGGCGGCACCGTCGATGCCGAGGACCTTTCCGTTGATCCACTCGCCGTCCTGGGAAGCCAGGAAGCAGACGACACGGGCGATATCGATCGGGAGGCCGACGCGGTGCATGGGGGACCAGCCAGCGGCGTACTCATCGACACCTTCGTCATCGAGCTCAGTGCCACCGGGGATGTACTCGCGGCAGACATCACTAAATGGCATGTTAGCTTCTTGGTCTGTGAGGCAACTAAGTTGGACGTGTGCACTTACCGGTACATATCGGTCTTGATGCCACCGGGGGCAACAGCGTTGACGGTGATCTTCTTGTCACCGAAGTCGATAGCCATGCAGCGGACAAAGGTCTCAATGGTTCCCTTGGAGCCAGAGTAGACGGCGTGCTTGGGGAC